TTTGAATTGCTCACACCAAATTCAGTGTTATGACCTCTCTCTAAACTATGAAAGTGTGTCAATCTATTTTGCAGTTTCCAAAGTAGTTATCCTTCTTGGGAATCAGATTCTCTTGGGAAACAGTTTCTTTCAAATCTCAGAACATTCCGGGACCAAAAGCTTCGAGAACTGAACACAAGACACTCATGCTCTTCTCCTAGTAGGGCGTGGCGAGAATCCCCTATTCTTCGCAACAGCACGTCAACACCGTTATACAGAGACCTATCAAGAAATCCGCATGCGAGAGGCAACCACGCTGATTCCATGTTCCTGATTGATTCAGATCAGAGGAACCATCCTTACCTTCTTGACTGGTACTACACTTCTCAGTCTCACAACAGAACGGATCACCACCCGGTAGAGAGAGAGAACGAAATCTTGACTGCAAACCAAAACTCTGGAGATTGCTGGCCTCCTAATTTGGGAATCCGTGGTGATGATATGGAAGCAACAACTTCAGGTCAGTTCTTCAGAGAGAGCATTCTGCGCCAACACCATCCTGAGGGAGAAGAAAACTTTGGAAACCATCATCCTCTTGATGGTAGGAGCCAGTGGTGGGGAAGAGGCGATCGTTCTCCCACCGGTCCATCTCATCCCGCAACAGCCGATAGCTTCATCGAGCCGCCGGATTTTATAAACCACTACACAACGAGGAACTTGTTAGACAGCGCATGGAGCAGAAGAAGCATTGGAGAAGAAGAAGATGAAGAAGAAGGATTGGATTGGGGAGAGAATGCAAGAAGAAAGTTGTCAAGAACTACATTTATGGATGATGACGACGACATTGAAGCTGGGATTGATCTCCATTTCGACGATGTATATAGTTCAAGGCCTCAAGAAACTTCAACATCAAGAACCTCATTAGGGTGAATCAGAAGAAAAAGGAATTTAATTTTTTTTGATTCAAAGTTGTTCTTCTTTTTTTTTCTCTTAATGGTGATAAAGGAAAGATAAAAGAGATGCTTGTAAGAGTTTTCTCTGGATTTGGAAAAAAATGTGGGAATGATAACATTTTTTAGTTTTTGCTATGTTTCTCAATCTAACGTTACATGCAATTCTTTATTGTTGTTGTATATATAAATAAAAGTTCCTTTAAAATGGTATTTTTATTCAATTGTGATTCCAAAATTATATACTTTAGGGTTTTTGTTTCACGAGAGAGGGTTTATCGACGCGATTTCTCAAGCTCCGCCATGAGAAGGCTATCGATTTCTCTAATCCGTCGCTTCCATTTCCAGAGATTCAGAGCAATCCCACTTCCAGTTCACCTGAGTAACATTCCCGATGCTGCTGCTGCTGCTGCTCCGTCGCGCGGAATCTCCACTTGCTGCAGAGCCTATGGCTCGATCATCAACAAGAGCAAGTTCCTGGAGAACCCAAGTCGGAATTTCAACACTAATGTCGAGGAACCGACGGAGATTACCCCAAGCGAGATAATCGACCAGGAAAAAAACGACCTTGAAGAGGCGTTCGAGTCAGCGAAGACCACCGACGAAATGGTCCGTCTGTTCAAGGAGATGGAGTTGTCTTTCGAAGGGAGCGAGCTAGGTTTATCCGCTCTGAAACTAGGTCTCCATCTCGATCGCCAAGGTGAGGATCCCGAAAAGGTTTTATCTTACGCTGATAAAGCTCTGAAATCGTTCGATGTAATCGGATACAAACCTACTCTGCTTGTTGCCATGGCGTTGCAATTGATGGGCTCTGCTAATTTCGGGTTAAAACGGTTTAGCGATAGCTTAGGTTACCTCAACAGAGCGAATCGGATTCTTGTCAAGTTAGAGGCGGATGGTGATTGTCTTTTGGAAGAGCTTAGGCCGGTTCTACACGCCGTGCAGCTCGAGCTTGCTAATGTTAAGAACGCAATGGGAAGGAGAGAGGAAGCTATTGAGAATCTGAAGAAGAGTATGGAGTTAAAGGAGATGACTTTTGAGGAAGATAGTAAAGAGATGGGTGTTGCGAATCGGAGTTTAGCTGATGCTTATGTTGCGGTTTTGAATTTTAATGAAGCTTTGCCTTATGCTTTGAAGGCGTTGGAGATTCATAAGAAGGAGTTGGGGAGTAATTCGGCTGAGGTTGCGCAGGATCGGAGACTTCTCGGTGTGATCTATAGCGGTTTGGATCAGCATGACAAGGCCTTGGAGCAGAACAGATTGTCTCAGAGGGTGTTGAAGAATTGGGGGATGAAACTTGAGCTGATTCGTGCGGAGATTGACGCTGCGAACATGAAGGTTGCGTTGGGGAAGTACGAGGAAGCGATTGATGTGTTGAAGAGCGTTGTGGAGCAGACTGATAAGGATAGTGAGATGAGAGCTATGGTGTTTATATCGATGTCGAAAGCTCTGGTGAACCAGGAGAAGTTTGGTGATTCGAAGAAGTGTTTGGAGTTTGCTTGCGAGATCTTGGAGAAGAAAGAGACAGCTTCTCCTGTGGAAGTCGCTGAAGCGTACTCAGAGGTGGCGATGCAGTACGAGTCGATGAACGAGTTTGAAACGGCGATTTCGTTGCTGCAGAAGACGTTGAGTATACTTGAGACGCTTCCTCAAGAGCAGCATTCGGAAGGAAGTGTTTCGGCTAGGATTGGTTGGTTGCTTCTGTTCTCTGGGAGAGTCTCTCAAGCGGTTCCTTATTTGGAAAGTGCAGCTGAGAGGTTGAAAGAAAGCTTTGGTGCTAAACATTTTGGAGTTGGTTATGTTTACAACAATCTTGGTGCTGCTTACTTAGAACTTGGAAGACCACAATCCGCTGCTCAGATGTTTGCTGTTGCTAAAGATATAATGGATGTTTCACTTGGTCCTAACCATGTTGATTCGATCGATGCTTGTCAGAATCTGTCTAAAGCTTACGCAGGATTGGGAAAGTAAGTAAAAATTTATGTTAAAACACAATCTGTGTTTGTCTTGAAAGTGTTCAGTGTCCTTGATCATTGCATTGTTTGCTTTTGCAGTTATAGCCTTGCAGTGGACTTTCAACAGCGAGTGATCGATGCTTGGGACAATCATGGAGATAGCGCGAAAGATGAAATGAAAGAAGCGAAGAGACTTCTTGAGGAACTGCGATTGAAGGCTCGAGGTGGTGTTTCAGCAAGTAAGATTCCTGCAAAGGCTTTACCTTTGCCCAAGAAGTGAGAAGCCTCTAAACTCTTCAAGCTCAAGCTTCTTTTGGCCCATCAAGCACTATGTTTTACTTTTACCTGATACGTCTCTAAACATATGATTAATAGTTACTTTTACTTCAGTTATGACTTATGAAAGTGTAGTTTTTTAGAATCGTTTTTTTTTCTCTTCTCTCGGTTATTAATGGTCAGTTATTTTAAAGTTTGGTCCTAAATTACATCCTTGCTGGTCCAAATTAGTAAACCAAATGCGAACTAAAAATATATCAAAAGAAGAACGAAAAAAAACGACCCATCCCTAGTTTGTTTGCATCTATAACAGTCCAAATTAGTAAACCAATTATGAACAAAAAAGATCATTAGAGTCAACTTGAGGCATAGTTGAAATTGGTCAAACACGAAAAAGCCTATATTTTTAAGGTTACATTTCTGACCCTAGCTAGCTTTAGCTTTACCTTTAACTGAAATTCCTTAATCATATGAATTTTTGACTTTATTGCAAATTGTTGAAATAATTTTCCTAAGAAAAAATCCACTTTTATCCAAACTTATTGCATTAGTTTTCAGTTTTTTTTTTTTTTTTGGTAAAATTATTAGTTTTCAGTTCATTACGTTGCACATCCACATACGTTACAGATTTGTAACATTACCAAACTCTAGCCTAGAATCGTTATTGAAAAACTGTAATATGTAAACCGAAATTTAAGGCCGCCGGCGTTCAACGATGTACAGAGGACTGAGATTAGAGTCAGAGAGGAACAAACTAAATGATTCTGATACAGTTTGCTTACAGAACACTAGCGCCGCCTCTCCTTTTGCATACTATCCTATTTATTTATATATATTTTCTCAAATTTGTTTGTTTTTTAATGCGTACTTTCTCACTTTTTTATTGCATTTGGAGAATTCTTTTACTATAAGATTTCTGATTTGCTCATGTGACTGATGACTAAGTCATGACAAAGTTAATAGACACGTGCTCTAAATGGAGATGCATGCATGTATCAACTTTCTCTTGCTTTCAATAAGTTTCAACGGATAAACGCCTTGAATAAAGAATATTCTAGATCTTTCTGAAACGTATTAATTTATGGTAGGACTCGTAAACCTTATTTTGAGTTAATTTTGTTTTCTTTCTTGACATTCTGTTAAAACTCAGTTAGAGTATCAATCATATTCATTGTTAAGTACTTAAGATAGCCTTATAGGATTAGAGTGGTAAGAAAATGTTATACACCGGAATCTTACGATATTTTCTTTTAATTGATTTTTCAGGTATGATACCGTAATGTTATTGTTAACCATTAAACCGATGCCGCATTTGCTATAATAGATCGATAAAGTATATCTGTATATGTCAAGAACTCAAGACATGGCAACCGGTTTCATCCGGTTTGGGTTTATCGTTTCAAAAGTTACATCAACTTCGCGCACACACAAAAACAACAAAGAAAGTAACTTCGAACTTGATTTTCGAAATTTGTAGATTGCAACCTTTTTAAAAGTTTTAGATTCATATCCAAATTCGATAGCACCATCAAAATTTACAACCGGTTGAGAATTATCATGCTTTGACATTTAACTTAAGATCATTTGTAATTTTGTAAACGTAGCGTAATGATATTTCAAATTGTATTCTATATATTAATTTCAGTTATTTAAGGAAAGAAGAAACTACAACGTAAGAGGTCAGTTATTCAAACCGCCCAGTTGAACAGCTTTTAAAATTGGCCTAACAAACTAAATTATCCAACGTATATGGTCTTTCTGTGTTAAAGATCTAGATGGTTACAAATATTATATAGTTCTTGAGTTTGAATTACTCATTAAGGTCAAGTGAAGATTAAATAAAAGCTGTTCGAATTAGGCCTCGTGGGGATTGCTTTCTAGTTTCTACCAAGTTGAAATTTGTTGGAAATATTAGAAAGCATCTAATCGGTGAATAATATTGGAAATATTAGAAAGCATCTAAATTTGTTGGAAATATTAGACGTCATTATTAATCGGTGAATAATTTAGTTTTTCTTTCCTTTTATTTTGGGAACTATTTGTCTATTTTATATTGGAACTTATTAATCCATGCATGTACAAATGAAATGCTAACCCCACTGTATATATATATATATTATGAGGAAATAACAAAAAGAAAAATCTCAGTTCTTGCAAAGAGATAGTAAAATATGATGAAAAAAAAATCAGTTGAAATGATATAAAATTTTGTATTAAACTTTATCAATGTTATATTGTACGTCTATTATATATAATTTTCTTACAACGTTTGATATTAAAAAGAATATTGAAAAGGATAGTAAAAATAATAATAAAACAAGGACCTTGCTGTTTTTTTGTGTGTGTGCCAAACGAAAGACCTTGCTGTTGCCAAAATATTTTAAATAATAGTAACATATAACCTATCAATCTATTGAAGGTATAGCGATAAAAATAGCAATCTTTCTGACCTTTAGCAAGTTGATCAGTTATTATTGTTTCCACCACGAATTTAATATTAATACTTGTTAAGTGCACTAATCAGAAGTTAATGTACTAAGTTTTATCATAGTTATCCTTATCTTAGTGGGGACATTGAATCGCATGCATGCTTGTGGTTTTTTTTTTTCTGTTAAGAAAACTAAAAACAAAAACAAAATACCTAGGATTATAGTAATAATAAAATTATGGATCTTACCTTTGACCTTCTTCGCTATTAGCAGGGAAGGGGTCGGACATTACAAAGTATTAAAGTGACAGCAGAACAAAA